GATTCAGTTCCCTGTTCGTACAAAGTAGGGCGTCCATGACTCACAGCCTTAGCTGCCATACCATCATCCGCAGGTAGTACATCAGTATCCGGCCACGAAGTGGCAGTAAGCAGGGGCAACTTGGATGAGTCAGCAGCCTTCCCTCCAGCATGTGCGCTCATGTTGATGGGGCTAGCACCCATGCCTTTGGTGCCCTATACATCCACCAAGTCACCCCGGCTGACTATAGGAGGACCATCGGTAGCTTCTTTGTGCAGCAACACAGCAGCAGCAGTGGTCTCGGGAGGACTCAAGTTGATGGAGGCAGCGCCCCCTTTAACCCCTACAGCGGCCTGATCCAGCCACTCCGCCCGGCAAGACGCGAGGTCCATTTCAGCCACCCCTACAAACTACCAATTCTTTGAGCGCAAGCACAATGTCATCAGATGTCATGTCAGCTACCAGCCCACCACCAGAATGCCAAAGGAGAGCAAACATGTAACCGTGATGCCAAAGATGCAGCAAGTACGTATCTAGTGGCACTGGTGGCACGCGTTTGTTAGACGATGGCGGATACGCTAAGTACGTGAAGGTGTTCAAGCGCCCTTGGTGGAGAGGTATTATACTTGTAGTGGTCAAACATAATTTTTCAGAGAAACACTGTTAACATCTAACAACCAGAATAAGATTTTTGTTTTGCTTTTATCTTGGCAGCAACATTGCCAAATCGAATTCAGTGCTGGAACAGCATCCCAATGGCCAATAATAGTTTTATACATATTGAAGGGAAAATAGCCTGATGGTGACGAGTGTCATTTCCAAAGGTTGGGTTCAGTGGAAAGTGGCACCGTTCAGCACTAACTGGTCCAGTTGTGCAACTTATGCATATGCTTCAGAAGCAGATGAAACAAATCTTAATGAGGTTTCTGGACAGTGCATAGAGAAATACTTTTATTTGAAAATAATATGATAATCCAGGGTCAATAAGTCTTACACAAAGAAAAATGACAAGCCAGGTTCTGAAGCTTTAGGACAGACACATATCATAAGAAATAATGTCTTACATCAAATACTTCCATAACACACCAGTTCCGGACAAGAACATGCTTACAAACCCTCCTTATCGAAAGAAAAAAAATGGATTTAGCGGTAACGGTGGATTCTTGCCAACGCAGCCCAACCAAAGGTAACTATGAAGGGCCAAAGTGTAGTGAGCACTAGGAGCGCGTACATCCTTAGTAATTGTACCATTCCTTTGAATAGACCCTTTCTAATACATAACGGTCCTGCAAGAATAACCAAGTTAAAAATACTATCCACATTTGTACCAAGCCATACGGTGGGAGTAATAACACAGACCGCAACGGCAGTATTACGAGCAACTGGAGCTAGCACCATATACACACCCAGTGCAAATGCAATAGACATGCTTACGAATGAACTCGAGAAGGAAAGCACGGATAAGACTAAGTAGACTTCGCGGCCTATCGCGGGTGACCATGTTAACAAAGGGACTTGCAGAAAACGTGAAGCCAATGGTAGCTAGAGAAGAGCATATGAAAGCTATTGTGGTGGCTATCATGAACGCGTCAAAAAGATAACTCCCGGCATATGTTGGTGTGCCTTCATTGGTATGACCATCAGCTCTATAACCTCCAGGGATGGCAAAAGTTGCACTGAACGCAACAGTTGCTATTAGGACAGAACCAACGACAGACATTTGTGCTGCATTTTTCAGCCTCTGTGATTCTTTGTCCTCCTCCTCTGGCTTTGGATGCCGACTGAACGGTTCCTCAGCCTTATCCCAGCAAACAACACCATAGTTTGCTCCAACAGACAACAAGGCATGGTATATTTTATTCTCAGAGTTCTAAAATAAAAACAGGTAAGATTACTTAAGTACCAAATGAAGCAATATGCCATAAATGATTTATTTTATTCAAGGGGAGAACTTCAAAGTAAAACCAAGTATTACCTCTATATAATTCATTCCGTATGAAAGCTTACTGATGGATAGATCCAAGGGAGTTTGCCCCTGGTTATTTGTTATATTTAGATTCACCTCTGGATTCCCAAATAGAGCACAGAATATCCTAAAGTTCCGTGCTTGGATAGCCAAGTGCAGTGCAGTGTTTCCATCATTGTCTTGCATATTCAGAATCCAAACTAAAGATGGAGTTTCACATACATAGAACACTACGTCCCGTATTTCTTTCTCGACAGCAACATGAAGGAATGTTCTTCCTTTAGCATTGCGCAACCCAACACAATTTGGATACTTGCCACGGAAAAACCGTATGGCATCTTTCACACCTGCAGAGGCAGCCAAATGTATGGGGAAAGATCCATTCTTGTCCGCTTGATACAGTACGGTGGGGTTCGCTTCGAATACTATCTTGAGCATCGATGTAGAAGTCCGGGAAATCCATACAAAACGACACCAAGGAGGTCTGCTGAGGAGCTCAAGTTGCAGACACGAGGCAGTCCCAAAAGACAACGATGAAGCAAAGTGAAGCGGCGTTCTCCCATCTTTGTCCACCTGTATAGTAAGCTTTTTGTTCCAATGCACTAGGAACTCTACCATCACTGTCAAGAATACGCATTTTGTGTTAGTGAATCAAAATACTCCCTCCATTTACTTATACAAGGCCACTATGGAATATACGTTTTGCATCAATATAAGGCCACCAACAGTAATCGAGGAAAGAATTAATGATATTTCCTCGTAGGAGCAACATGTTTAATACTTGCATGCATGCAGTCATAATAACACTAGCTAGTTCCTCCACTCAGTTTTCTTACATGCATGTTCCGTATTAATGATCCCAGTAAACGAAAAGAAAGTTGGCTTATGAAATATGCAGTAAATTTAACATTGGTATCTATAATTTGAGTTTGTGGCCTTGTATACAAAAATGGAGGGAGTAGGAATTATCTTAATCCAAATAACATTTCGTAGAATTGGCCGTTAATTTAACCATGTTCCTATATGAAGACGATGACAATAACTACATCAACAACAACTAGGTAAGTGTAGAGAACTACATCTACTACTCCCTCCGTTTCAGAATATAAGGTGTAATGTTTTCTATGCAAGTCAACTATTTCAACGTTTGACCAAGAGTATAGAATAAATAACAACACTTGCAATACCTAATTAATAGACAAAATATGAAACTACTTTTCATGATGAATCAAATGATATAAATTTCATATTCCGGATATTCATATATTTTTCTAAAAACTCGGTCAAACATGCACTCGTTTAAACCAATACACCTTATATAAAAAAATGAAGGGAGTATATGCTAAAAACACAATTTTTGGGCCCCTACTTATGATGCCTGGTTGCATGCATCTCCACACCTTTACAGAGATATGTGAGATGATGAAAATGAAGCGCAGATCCTCATGCGGTAAAACTAAAATTGTTTCATTTCTCTTTCAGAGGAAAAGCAAACGAATGGTTCCTATCTCTTTCGAGAGTCACCGTTACAAAATGCGAAATATGTTGCAATATATTCATGACTAAGTTTTCTGGGATTTTCTAGTATATTTTCTTTTCTGAACAGTCCTTTGATTGAGCATATAATAGGATTTTCTAGTATATTCCATTTGACTCATATTCAAAAAAGGTTCTATCCCCGGATGGACCGGCGGCGGCGAAGCTCGTTCCTTTTTTGAAGGCGTCGTCGCGGCTCTCATTGCCCTTGTGTTGCTCCAGGGGAGACTCTGACCCTCGGGTCGGGCGGTGGCGGCGCTCCGGTGTCGTATCCTTCCTGAAGGCGCCGCCTTGGAGTCCACAGTTCGTCGTATGCGGCTTCATCTCTTCGTAGATAGGGGTGGTGTTGCTGCGCTCGGTGCCTATGTATCGTGCCTTTGGTGTGTGCGTGTGTGGTGGCTTGCGTTTGTACCGCCGTGTTGATGATCGTTTCTTTATTTATAAAGCGGGGCGAAAGCCTTTTTGGGGAAAAAAAAGGATTTCATTTGAACAAATTTATGGCATATAACTAGTTTATCAAATGTATGCTAAAGTTAGGCTCAAAATTCGAGGGGACACTATGATTTAGAATGAGGGAGTTGACAGGGAAGTTCTAAAATATATTATGCATTTAGTGGGTACCTGAGTCTCTGTGTGGAAGAACACCAACATGCAGGGCATTTTGTCCATCTGCTCCGGAATAGGAGAGATTGCCACCACTTTTATCATACAGAATCAATGCAATTGTACTCTTCCCCAGCAAGATGGCTAGATACAAGGGTGAAACGCCATCCGCAGGATAATTAGCTAACTCTGGATCAGCACCCATCAGTAGTTTGACTATATTCTTTTCTTCCCGTGTGCCAGCAGCATCTTCCCTATTCTTTTCTTCTCCGGCGGTGTCAGTAGCACCAAGCAATGATCTTCTCTCCTTCAGACCGAGAAATCGACCATCCTCAAATCGGACAGCCTCATGCAGGGCCGTCTCGTGCCGCTTATTTTCCATTCTCAGGAGCCTGAGCTTCGTGTCAGCGCCCTCACGTGCAGCTAAATCCATGAGATGAGAAACCATTTTGGAGTTCCCAGCTCGGGCAGCACAATGCAAGGGTGGGTCACCCTTGTGATTCTTCGCAAACAGGAGCCCCATGTCCCTTCCGTAGATGATGCCGGCATACTCTAGGAAACGTTTGCCATCCTCCTGATTCTGTGCGACCACATGTAGTGCAGTATGACCATCAGGAGTGACGCCCTTGAGGAGTGCTCCATCTGCAAGTGAAGCATCAGGCTGGTCGTCGACGCCCTCTTCTACATCACGAGCAGTTGACACTGCAGTTCTTCCTTGGGTGCTGCTGCCTGCCTCTACCAACTCGAGAAATTCTTGAGAAACAATCATCAGGGGTGGACGTTTTGCGTCTTCCCTCTCTAAAAGGACACTCAGTGCCATCGAGGAGCCCTCGCGTGCCGATAACAGAAGCAAGGGATTGACGGTACCAGCTGGGGATTGGTCCTCTTCGGAAGGTTTCTTACTCGGCGCCATCGCATCAACCATCGACATGGTATCCTCCTTGTTCAGCCCATCCTTCAACTTTGTGGCCATCATAGGATTGGCGTCCATGGCCACTATGTGGTTTGGAAGTTGGTTGGAGTGTTTGAGGTTGGTTGTGCTCCAAACGCGCGTCTCGGCGCACTCTTAAAACAACTGCAAAGTCTTCTCTCTTTTCTGTTCAACCAAGTCACATTTTAATTGGTTGCTCTTTCCCTCACAAGGCTTAATTTTATTTGTTTCTGGTTTCATGGTTCCTCCGGGGCATATGGATGTCAATGTGCCCCAAACCTACTCCTTCATTAATCAATATTCGCTCTAAACCTGCTCTTGAATTTGTCTACATGAGGGGGTGGTGCATATGGTGGACTAGACCACCTATCTCTTCACCATAATATTGGGCCTTTTTTCACTGAGCCTTCATCTTTGACTTATTATTTTTCATCTACCCTCTTCTTTGACTTGTTGACCATGGCTTGGAATTCTTGGTTTGATTTTTCAGAGCATCTCTATTGGTTTGATTTCACAGGACCTTGACATGGCTCGATTTCGATTGGACCACGTAAATGCCATGCAGGTCACGGCAGGACCCGTGAATAAAATTACATGTTTGCCCAACACGACGTATGCTCAATTTTTTCTTTCGCGACGAGGTATACTCACATGTAATTGTGATTATTATATTCCTTACTGCTCATCTAGAAAAAAGAGGAAAAAGAATGCCGGCCAGCGGCTAGGAGTGCGCAAATGATTGTGACATGCCTCCAAAGAATGCATCTATCCACCTATCGGCAAAAATATGCTTTCCGCATCAAACGAAAACTTGCAAGTGGATGGCCAACTTGAAATATATACGCAGCTAATACTACTATGTGACAACTCATTGCACAACGCAAGAGAAGTGACCCAAGGGATGCGACAATAGCCGCTTCCCGTGCCTAATGAAACTTTGGTGTGGATGCTGACGACATGGAATGATGATTTTCTAATCAGTAAATCACCAAGAGCCGTAGAACTATTGTTCTACGGTTTGTGCTTCAACAAAATCACCAAGGGTGGTTGTAGTGGTCTTCAGTTACGTTGTCAATATACTCCATTCATAGTCGTACCATGGCTAGACTTGATGGGATTGATCCGTTCCAACTTAAGTTTAGTGACAATTGGAGTACTACATGCCTTCAGACGGGAGCTGTATTAGCATATAGCGATTGAGGCTAACATGTTGTTGATTAGTACTCCTACGTAGTACATTCCTCCAGAAGCAGGAAATGATCCTCTGGTCATTCTGGCCATTCGCATAAGACTCTGAATGATTTCTTCATGAATGGGTCCAACTTACTTCCTCCAGAAGCAAAAGTGTTTGATGATTTCCTTACGAATGGGTCCGCTCTGGCCATTCGCATAAGATTTTGAATACACACCCTCTAGTGAAGCACAAGGTTAACTTACTTGATGAAACTGTCAGGTAGATATAACAAGTGTATAGCGAACTGCTGGCACCTTCCCTTTTTTTCTGCTTCTTGTTCCCTGCTTCTTCGAAGACTGCAAGGGCACCTTATTTCGCCTTCTTAATGCAAAGGTAGAGCACCTGCCATGTTTGTCAGAAACAAAAGAGAGGTAAGAAACATGAGGCTTTCATGTCCACAAGCTAATCCTAACAATATGAGGGAGAGATCATCAACTCATGTGATTGGGTACCGGAGCCTGGAGATGCTACGGTTAGAAGATGCAGCTAAGACGCGGCGAGAGAAAAAAAAAGAGCAATCACTGATAACTTTCTGTTACTTTATTCAATAGTCAGGCCTAAACACCCTCAAACTGATCTACCATCCTTAAGATGACATACAAACTCTTATCTTTTGAAACTAATCCCGAGCCAATGTGCACGTTAGGGGAGGGCCCACCGCCTATAACACTGCCCGAATAAAAACAGCTTATGGGAACACATCCTGACTGAACCACATCTTTGCAAGCTGCTCTTTTGTTAACTTCTCTGTACCTCGAGAAAATAAGAGCGGATTGGCCTTCTCCTGATCGTAATTTTCATCAGAAACCTTCATCCCCGTCACACCGTCATCTGATTCTTCAACACCCTGTCAAATGGTTGAATAATATGAGCATCAATTATGGCCAAACTTCAATCATTTTATAATTCTACTAGCGAAAATGTTGGGTAGGACCATGGCTCAGCCGAACCCATGCTCGGTGCCACACATCTCAGGGCAGCCCTTTTCGGGATATGTGCATGGCGGGTGTGGTAAATCACGGCGGGAACGACTAACACACATGATGGGAACTACTATGCATTAATAAACCTACTGACTACTAACAACATAGGCAATAAAATAGTGGACATGCATAGGAAGAGAGGAAAGTTGTCTCCATGCAGCCACACTTTTCACAATTGTTTAATGCAGGACAATTCTGCCCCCGGGACATGCATGCCAACATAAAATTCGGTTTTTCTTCGTTTTTTGAAAAAAAAAAACATGAAAAAATTCACACATGGTGTAATCTGAATGTTCAGTGAACTGAGAATTTTAATAAAAAATTCAAATGGATGTGTCTGTGCAAGAAAATGAAGTTTGGCTGCGTTACTACACATTTGCGTGACTGTTTGAGCCCATGCAAAAATGTTGTGCAGTTATATGGTCAGTCTAAGTGTTTTTTGTCACATGTGAGTACAGTTTGCTATAAAAAACTGATGTATTATCACTTCTATGAACAATGGTCATTTCTTTTTTCTTATTTACGAACAATAGTCATTCCCTAGTGCTTATAAAGTGTCGATCGATAACTATATGAAACAATAATAATAGATAAATAAATTTACGAATTCAGTACTCTAGATGCTGCGAATAATGCCAAGTTTCAGACACAAGAGGTAACATTCATGTGAATTTGGCTCAGACATTACCTCGTAAAAATGTGCATCAGTATTGAGATCAATAGGCTTGACAAGTTTACTTTCTTCTTTCATTCCTCCGCCTATTGTAGTCATAATGCGCTCATAAGCTTCATCCAGCAACACCTCAAGTTGAGCTTCGTACCTGGTTTGAAGGATAGGAATTACCTATCAATGGGATTTAAAATAAATTTTGAAACTGGTAAGAATTCATGACCATTTATGATATTATTTGTTGGTGCGGGTGTCTGAAATTTCACCTCTGCAGTTCCTCATCAGAATCTACCGCCTCATCAGAGTCCTCGTGAGTTTGAGTTTCTTCATTATTACTGTCTCCATCTTCTGCTGACTCAACAGCTTGAAGTTCTTTTCCACCCAATAATAAAGGGCACATAAAAACCATATATTTATATCATTTAGTTCACAAGCACGAGCTAAAAAGGCCAATCATATGACGAACAAGAAATCATAACAGAAGCAAAATTACTCCTACAAGTGTCTTTTACTTCTGATGATCAAATTTAATGACCGCAAAAAAAATCTGGGAGCAGCACTAGCGCAGAACCGGGCATTAGCACCGGTTCGTAAGGCCCTATAGTGCCGGTTACA